AAAAAAAAACACGCTTTTACGAATTTTGGATTTGTACTGCTTAAAGTATTTTGAGTATATCTCAGTCAAAACAAAAGCTTTTTGAAAATTTTTTTTATCAAAATGCTTAGAATTAAAAGCTCTACAAACGCTGAAATTTTCATCAAAATCAGTAGTCAACTTTGTGCGCGTGGCTGAGTTCATGTCGAAATATCCACATAGTAATTGAATATCGAAAAATAGGCTGAAAACATCAAAATCTGTCCAATTGTATGCCCTTTGTCATTTTGATAAATTTTATCGGTCCGAAAAGGCGAAGTCTACCATTTTGTAGAGCAAGGTTCGCTCTATCTTTGTCACTACATCAGTCATCTGGGAAATTTCAAAAGTTGCATTTTTTTTTCAATTGAAATATAAGTCACGTTCTACTATAACAATATTACTCCGGACACTGCGATTCAAGCTCAATAAAAGTAGTCCTCTAAGAAAACTGCGCGATTTGAAAACACGCGACTAATAAACGCTTAGAAAAAAATATAATAAAACACTAAAAATCATCTATGAAATTTTACACGATAACTACCATAAAAAGTCGACTTCTGGGAATCATAGATGCCAAAGAATTTTCTACAATCCAAATACGTCAAAATGATCAGCTAATTGAGCTCTACAAACACCTAAATTTTCACATTGATAGAAAATACTTGATGTAAACGTGGTAGAAATTCTATATAAATACCCATTAACATTTTTGAATAATACGTTGAAATGTTTGAAAAAGATCTTCTTGTTGAATTGGTAATTCAAGTAAATTACGATTTATTCTATATATGAATAATATTGATATAATACGATCAGCAATAGGTTGACCAAGAACAATTTCAATTTGTACAAAGACTTCTTTGTTTTTATTTTCCAAAATTTAATTTAATAATACCTGAAACACAATCAACAACGTCAAGAGTACCATCAGTAACTTTTCATGAAAAACTTGTATGATTTGGTGAATCAATAAGATTAATTAAATAATAAGATATATCTATTGTATGTGCTTGTTTAATAAATTCTCAATCTTTAGCAGGTAATTCATAATAATGTGAAATATCTCTAAAAATTCAAAATATTTAATATTAAACAAAAAACGAATGAATTAATCATATATTGATTTAATTGTAATAGATCATTCTCGTTCATCTTTTCATGTATCTATTAAACGCATTTCATCAACTTTTTGTTGAACATTAATGCTCACTTTATATACAAGTAAATCTATTAGTGCCGATTTCTATGATAAGCATGCACGATAACAGACATATTTTGAATATCCTTCTTTTTGTCCATCAAAGCACAAATTTTATCAATTGTTAAGTTAATCTGAATTTATTTTATTCGATAGATTCTTTTTAATTTACCGTGATTTAAATTGTTTTTTTTTGTAAATGTCGAGAGTGTTGGTGTGAACTTTCTCTTCATCTAAACCCATACAATACAGTTCACTTGAATATATATGTTGTCATGCTCAGTTATATTGACAAATACAACTATTTGTTTTGTTAGAATTCGAAGCTTTGTCTTTTTCTGATGTTCAAAAGTTTTTTCAACAAAGTCCTATAGTGTCAAAATAAGAGAATTTTTGATTTCTTTAAATTTTCACATAACACAGCCATAAATTATTTCTTTGAGGGTGTAGGTGTGGATGTACAGGTATGGGTATGGATGAGTGTCTATTGTTGTCACACTCACACCCACACCCGTCCTTCATGGATGCTTCCTTTTGAGTGATAGATCGGAAACAGCAAAATGAATACTAGGTTTATTACAATGAGTAGCGAGCGGTCAGTTACTATTAATTCATTGACCAGCCGTGATCCGATAGATGAATTAAATATTTTCCATTCCTTGAGTCACGTTCAACTTTATCCACTTTGAGACGGTGTCCGCATGCTAACAGCATTTCTTGCTCGTGCGGATAATGAGAAAGAGACGATATGCCAGATACAAAGTTACCTAATCCTTGATCGAGACTAATAATGAAGAGTGTATTTCCAAACTGTTCCGCAACTCGGCGATCCAGAGATGTTGACGTGTACGCAAGCCACATGATATATGTACCAACGGCCTGCTTATACTCTTCCACCATCGCATCGTTCAGAGTAGCGCCACGATAAACTATCCGTTCATTCCAATGAAAGGCATTTATTACATGCAGCCACAACAGATAACAGAATGGGCCGAGAGTGTCAACTTTGCTCCAGTCCTCACTTCGCAAAGTCGAGTTAATAAGTTTGTACAGAAATGATTCAACAGAATAGAGACGAACAGCACATTCTTTCAAACTCCACTCATTAATACAACCTCTCAGCAGTTCTGCCATTCGTTGTGCATCAAATTCTTGATTCAACAGTTTTCCTTCTCTCAGGATACCTTAGAAGATAAAAAATTAAACGTTGACTCTAAGACTGAGTGTTGGGAGACGAAAAATGGTCTAGCTTACCGGCAGCGGCTAGTTCACCAATTGCAGAATAGTTTTTCTCGTCAGCTATAACTTCATTGTTGTCGTGCCACTTCTTTATTATAGGAGGCAGGAAGTCGAAGTTGGTTGAAAACGATTTGACTGGTTTCTCTGCGAAGCAGAATCTTTCTTCTCTGACATAGCTTCCAACTTCGACTAATTCACGTTTCACCGGTCTCTGCTTGTTTCGATCCTGCTTATTCACTTGCACATTGGATTTGAAGTAAATAACGTAGTCATTTAGTTCAACGGTGTCCTCTTTTCGTTGCTGCGCAGCTTCAATGAACTCATTCTCGAAGTCCGAATAGCGTTTCCACTC